CTGATCCTTCGCCATATCTTGATATTATCAGCGAAAAATAGGAAATCGAAAGCAATTGATCTCGCCAGATCGTTAATGAACATCAATTGCTTTCGATTTCCTATTTTTCGCTGATAATATCAAGATATGGCGAAGGATCAGAGGACCTGACGACCACGAACGGCTCCAGTGCGATCTTAACACAATGTCGAACTGGTCAGTTCAAAACGCCCTACCATTTAACATGGACAAATGTCGAGTTATACAATTACGTCATAGACATAATTACACCTTTTTACTTGGGACTAACGGATTGTAAACCAGCTCCGTGGAAAGTGAGCTTGGTACGAGCGTACAGAGCGACCTCAACTGTTCAAAACAGGCTGGGGTAGCTGCGAAAAGAGGCAAACAGCACGTCGGCATGCTGCGAATGACATTCGGGAGATTTGACCCATCAATCTTCCCAATGATGCACAATTCCTGCGTGCTCCCGCATGTTGAATACGCTATCCAAGCTTGGAAACCTTGGTTGAAGCGCGACCTAGAGGCGCTAGAGGCACCACAAAGATGAGGGTCTGCGCTCTCACTCTTACCACCGAAGGCTGAAGTTGCTGGGAATTTTTAGCTGACGCTATCGAAGGCTGCGCGGCGATCTCATATTAGCGCATCAGATACTGAGCGACGCCAACCATTTATGCCGCCATTTGCTGAAACTTAGCCACAATACGCAGTTCAGGTGTAACTGCTTAAAATTGAAGGAACAATATAGCCGTCTAATGTGTCAACGGAATTAGTACTCCCTACGGGTTTGCCAACCCTGGAACGCATTCCCAGACTCAGTTGTATCCTCCACTAGGACGTTTTCAAAAAACGAGTAGATGTTACTCTTAGCTCCCAGCATTTTGTTATTTAAACTCCTCTATTGTGGATTACGCCAAGCATACTTTTCAACAGGATTTATGTATCAAATGGACCCAAGTGAGAGACCGTAGTTTACTTTTCTCACGCCTTATATCAACGATCACTGCACCCCAGTGTATCGCTGAAGGTTTACGCACGCTTCTGTTTATTTTGCATTGATGTTATTTGTTAATGTGTTCATCTCGGCAGACGTTCGATAGATGACCCAGATATCGTTTGATTTCATCATATTCACCCAAACCATCCTACGGGAGGTGTCAAACACTTCATTTTATCCCGTGGGAAATCATTGTTCGTTGTTCACATTAATTACAAGAGGGTATTTATGGAATTTATATGATTTGAGTTGAACTCATTCCATTTATACCATGTCAAACAGCTATCGCAGGCACAATGAAGCACTCTGCGGCCGTTTCGTCGATTCGATAATCGTCAGCGGTGCGTATTCCATCCCATCGCGAAGAGACTAGACCTTGACGTGGTACAACAGTTTGTGTGCCACAGTGATGAAATTTGTTAGTTTATTTCAATGCGATTCAACATATCATAGCTGCGTTAGCCTGCATAATCATCTTACTGAACATGACGACCATTTTCCCCGGTTTTCACCATCATCATGATACACGTTAGCTAGAGGTAAAAACACCTCAGTTATTGCGCCGCAATACAAAAAATACAAAAAAACATGCGAGAGAGGCCCGCCGGCTGAGTCACCAGTAACGGGTGGACATCGTTCCGTAAAGCTAACGGTCGGCTATTGCGCAGCAGAGTTACATTATGCCTAATAAATGTGACAGTGGCTGGAGGGTGAGGAGAGGAACAAAGTAACTCGAAACGCAAATGCCAGTGAGGTCAGCTCCTTGCTATTTCAACAGGTGTATCCACGTAACTTTGTTCACCGTCCTTCAGTCCTCAACCAAGCAGTCGAGAGGCTCCAACCGAGGCCAAAATCGAAGTAAGGGCCTTCATTCCTTTTGACCCACTTATGGCTTGTCCTCCGCTTCTCTTCTTCCATCCTCACCCCCGGCGCGCAGACAACGCATGTTCTGAGAGTCGGTGTGCTGGCATGCGCAACATGTGGCCCAGTCATGGTAGCCTGGTGTGATAAGTAACGGTGCTTAGCGGTTCATTTCCTTTTCTCGTGTCATAAACAAGACGTCGAAGGAGCTCATTGTTCACATGGTGGTACAACCAGATATGAGCCAAACAGTGAAGGCACCGGTGGCCAAATGTAACCAGTCTCTTTATTTTGGCTGACTTACTGGGCCAGGTTTCACAACTGTACAGCAGGATAGAAAGTACGACTGCACTGTACTCTTTACCCTTCAGGGAGAGTGATGCCTGCGCCGACGTCAAAAGTAACGATGGTTAAAAAAAGCGCCTCATGATTTTGCTTTATGGTTTGTGACCTCGTCATCGATTCCAACGGCACTGATACAATTACTTAGGTATTCGCACTTCTAAACGATATGTAGCTTATCCCCACTAAGGGTCATCGCAGGAATCGGTTCCTGGCAATTTTGGAGGAAAGCTTTGCTCTTCGAGGGTGCAAAGCATAGTCCGAAACGGCTGACAGCCAATGCTAATCTGTCCAGTGAGCTTGGCACCTTTCTGAGCTGTCACAGATGAGGGCAATATCGTCGACGTACTCCAAGACAAAAACTCCTTCTCATGATAGTGGCTCCCCACCTTTTAAGTCGTGTCCTGTGAACGCGATATCCATGATTTTGTCAATAGCGAAGTTGAAGAGGAAATGTGACATCAGGAATCCTTTTATCACGCCACGGGAGATAGTGAAGGTCGGCGTCAGCTTGGCGTAAGCCCTCACTCTGTCTGAGCTACGCGCGTAATGCGCTCGGATAATATGTAAATATTTCGCGGGCACACTATTTCTGAGTAGATAGTCTCAAAGCGCACGTCGGTTAACCGAATCGAAGGCACCTTTGATGTCGAGGAACAAGACCATATAGGCGGTCAATACGTGTGACCATGTTCCGACAGCTGATGGAAAGTGAATGTGTGATCTATGCAGCCTCGACTTCGACGAAACTTGGCTTTCACCTTGAGTGTCTGGCCTTCACGAGTGCTAGTCAATTTGTGAAGGATGACAAAGGCAAGTCATTTGGAGGCGATGGAGATCAGGCTGATTCCTCCGTGGTTACCGCTTTCAGAAGGTGAGCCTCCCTTGAAAATCAGGACTATAACGGAGCGTCTCCAGTCGGTTGGGACAATTTTCTTCTCCCACAGTTTCATTAGTAATTCCTGTAAATCATGGTAAGGTCTAGCTCCATTGCAATACTTTCTCCGGTATCACGCAGAACACAATCATTTTGTAATCTGCGTCGCATCCTATTTCAGGCCTTCATATAGCTTCACTTGCATCAGCCGAACAACGCACTGTCTCGAACCCAAATAAGCTGTATTTCCATTGTTCACAGGTGATGTTCACCAGTGTAATGTTGTCGATCAATCTGGAGTAATTGCTTATTTTCTCGTGGTATTAGCTAACGTGCAGATGGATCGAACAACCAAGTCGATGACAGCTCGATAGGTTGGACAATAGAGCGCGCAGTCAACCACCTTCGTGTCCGATCATACCGTTGATAAACGTAAGACGTAAGCAGGAATCGGTGAAGCACATCTACTCATGTAACAGGAAGAGATGAGATTGTTTTGTGCAAAGCCAGCATCACATTACCAATGGGGTTAAAGCAGTGCCAAACACGGAGATGGACCAATCACAACTCCGCTCCATAACGAAGCCTCCTCGCGGGCGAATCTTAGTTCAGAGCAAGCACTTCTGAGGTGTACGTTAGTGTTGAACACTTCGACGCTCACAGCACACCGCACTATCTCAGGTCTAGGTCAACATACTAAATCCGTTCAACACTAGATGCGGCTGAAAGTGTAGACCGATTCACCTACCCAGGTGATTTTATCACCTCCGATGTTCAGCTTACTGATTTCGCTGTTCACATTCGCTAAACTGCAGGGCTTTTTAAAACCACAGTCATCTGGGACACAACGTTATAAGATATCCTAATCAAGAAACGGATATGCATCTTATCCAGCGTTACTATGTGGTTCAGAAGTATAGTCAACTCGGATCCAGAGCCTTAATATTTGACATTTTCCTGGCCTCCATTGTTTGCAATACATCGGTTATCTCGGCTGGAGGCATCGACCGAGTTATGCTACCTTCCACAATTTGATGTTTGTCGATAAATTCTCCGCCGATTTAGCCGCGCCATCCGACGGAACTGAGCTGGATTCTATAAGCACTTAAATCGCTTCTTATTGCTTACTATAGTAAAGTCCCCGTAAGTTGACTACTCAAAGGACTAGGCCAGAATAGTCAATCTACAGATGTCCGGATCCATAAGGTTTATCTGGTGAATATTCACGCAGTGGGAAATACGGGTCGTTAGAATGGTGGTCAGGATATAGTACTGATCATCTTCGGAGGTTGTCCTTTATTAATTTCCCTTTAACTTGTGGTTTTATAAAATAATGCACATTCACTGAGATAGCATCCAGATGTCTAACCCTGCTTTTAACCCTTGTACTTCAAATTCTACTAAATAGTGTCACCTTTCATCGCAGATTATGATAGTTAAGTTTTTTATTATTTATTCCTGCATGTGTAAACGCTCCGGATTAAATAAGGGATTGTCGCTCGTTGCATTTAGTCTTAGCTGGAATCCAGATTATTCGTCAAAACAATCAGTTCCACGTTTCATTTAGCTTAAAGCGAATCATATCGTGTCATTAAATACGTGAACCAACCGATCCATTGCACCAAGTAGTTTATTTCATTACAAACTTTATTTAACTTATTTCCAATGGAACGGATATTTATAAGGAAAGATCCAGAGGAACTCATCCCGCGGCACAGCCAATAAAAGAAAACATATGTTTCACCACTTTTGAACCCACCATCTCCCTTCCACTTCTCTTTATCCGCCAGCTCACCGGTGTCTTCGGATTGATTTCCGTTTTGTAAGCAGGACGCCGATTTACGCCGCCGCTTCGGGAAACAACCTCCCGATGTCCACCGTCGCGACGCCCCATCATGTACGTTTCGTTCACTGTCTTCATTGTCAAGTATACGTCGAGAATCGTTCGCTTGGTAATAAATTCCAATAAAGACAATGATGTTCAACAGAAGCAGTGTTGTCCCCGTGGCTACGGTACAGAATAGCATGACACGTGGAGTGAGCGGTGAATTTGTAATACGCTGCCACGTGGGTTTCATTTGATACATGGAGGAACGGGACACAAAACCGTAGGTTGGCGTGGTGTTTGGAAGCTGGCGGGGTTGTAAAGGGGACGGATGATTTTAACTAGTCAACAGTACAAAGCGTGATTACGTCTGATACTCACGTTTCGATTAGGCATTCAGTATAGGAACTGATAGAGACAAAACTAAATCATCGAAACCAGCGACAGTAGCTGTTGTCTGAGGTTATAAACTACAGCAACTGGCTAATGTACGCATGACACCTGGAGAGCTGCTGTCATGATAACAACACGCGTACGGAATTGAGCCAGCACAAGCCGCGACTTCGCCGGTCAATGTGCGGTGAGAACCCGCCGCAATCCCGTGACCGGAAGCTTGGCATTACAACAACCGTGAAACCAACAACACAGCTGCGAGCAGAGAATTTGTGACTTACTGTACCGTTTATATAGCTTGTCCTTTTGCGCAAAGTATACTTTTGTTCGGAACCCAGCTTGAATTTTCGCGCCTGCGGAGGGCCACAATACTGTAGCAACATTACTACAGAGGGCTGTCACTTTAGTTTACTGTTTCACAACAACGGATGAAAAAAGATGACCCAGTCACTTAGGAATTGGTAGAGAATGTATGAGGAACTCAGTACTTAACTTAGATGCCCTGAGCAAGTTTTCTGGACTATATTTCTGACCCAAAATTATATGAACGTGATAGATACACTATAGAGAAAGTTGGATGTTGGCGAACACATGAGTTGCCACGTGGTGGTAGTGTCCTGAGTAACACCCAAATGAGTTCAGAGTGGCTCGCTAGACAACCCCGTGGTGCCAGCTGAGTAATTCGATTAAATCTCCTTCCAGCAAATGTACCGGCGGCAGTGTTCCAGGACGTAGTGGGCTCCCGCCTGGCAAGCGTTCTCCCTATAACAAGTCACATGTGTCTATCAAACATCGTGCGACGTGGCGTATGTGAATTACCACTGAATAAAGTCACTATCTCCTACCCACTCCACGGACGTCAGTTATCCACTTCAAAGAGTTTCCATGATCCCTTCATGCAGTGGCCACCGGGCTGAATACTATCACAAATGCAAAATCACTCAAAAAAATGCAATCCACTTGGCTACGTACATGGTTGGCGGCATCCGGTTTCGGATGTACCTGGCACTATGGCCAGCAACAGGACGTCGGCACCTACGGAGGGACCATAGGCTACACGCGCTGCACCACCCACACACCCCATATCCAGTGTAAACCCGGAGGAATAAGACCGGGAGGCATGTACATAGGAGCCACATTTCATCAACGGAGCCGGCCCACACTCCTTCACAGGCAAACACAAGCACGCTGTATTTGGGGAATGAAGCGCACACAAGGCGGTGGCTGCACCGTAGTCCGCTCCCCACTGACTGCATAGAACCAATCTCCGAGCCTAGCACGGTCACAAGCATCGTGCATCCCGTCCCCTCGAGCGATGACGAACTGTCTCTGGGAGCCAGTATGGAAGAGGTAGTGGGTAATAGACAGGTAGGCACCTTGTCAACATGCACATCAAGCCAACCACATGGGGATATCAGGCAACAGCCAATCACTTGAAACGACAAGATGACATAAAATAAAGCAAATAATGCATAGTGATACTGTGATATAACTCCGCTAAATTTGAATATGAAGTAAGTTGGTTAGCAACAAATCCGCGATAAGTAAAAATCGTCCACAAGTTACTTGAAAACGCCACAAACGCAACAAACTCATCGAAGATAAGCGCAGTTAGCGTAAGCAACGTCGTCAGTTAATAGATTATTCAGGTAGGCAGAAAAACCGCGTATAGATCTGGTTTGTAACTGGCTAACCTGTAACAATTTTGTTTGCTTAACGATCTTTGGTGCTTGTATTACCATGATCATGCATATTCAGGCGTGCCTCGTGTCGCGAATAAACAGTTTATTTATTTAATCACAGCATTGTCCTGAGGGGGGGGGCTCAGTTGATTCACTGTGGCTTCATACGGTAAATACAACGGACTTACTGAAGGGTCAGGTGGAATTTGAGCACATTTCCCTGACACATACCAGCAACTTCTGCGAGCGGACCTCAAGTGTGGAATGCACAGTTTGAGTCACCACACGGTGACAGTGTTGCTGAGCTTCTAGAGGCGAGCTGTACGCAAGCCCCACAGAACCATGAGAGTTCCGCAAGCGTACCATGAGTCCCGATAGAGCGGAGCAGTCATTCTGCCCTTTCCCATATGCACTTTGTTTTGCTGTTTGGACGTAGTTGCGCCGAGACTTATAACATTTAGTAAATGATCATGCAGAAGTAGGAATAGCGTTCTTCAAAGCAAACTAATGTTTGTGACGTTCTAACCAACTATACTGCTTGGCTAATTCTGTTGGTATTTTACGAGTAAATGTAAGCGGAATTTTGATACACCAGATACACTGTTACGAAGACACCGCCCAAATGCCGATGCTTTCTACTATTGCAGATCCTTCGTTCCCTCAGTCTTTTCTGATAGAGCTGCTGGGGAAAGCCCTAAGCATTTTGATTCCACATTGGCTGGGTAGTGTTAGACACAAGAAAACCATGCTTTTTCCCATGCTTCCAAGTAACATTGTCGCATTTCCCTCGAACCCCATATGCGTCAAACATTTGCCCTTTACAAGATACGGATGTGTCGGTTAGTTTTCATTATGCTTACTCGACCAGCGGAAGACATTTGCGGTCGCTTTCTTGTGAATCTCAGCGCAGAAATTACTCCAAAAGATTCTAAGCAAGAATGCTCTGATGGAGTACATTCAACACTTCAATTGGCCTCATCAAACTGCAGCGTCAACAGCAGTTGCAGTGCAATGCTGCATAATCCTCTGTCGTCTTATCGCCTCCCAGTACTGCCTGTGCGCAGACCAGGGACTTTGAGATGACCACTGTCACGTACGACGCGTAGCCCGATGGAGGAAACAGAACACGGTGTTCCTACGTTCCACTGGTGGTAAATGCCGCAAACAGGAACCAATGATAAATGGAACGCGAAGCATGGTCAATACCAATAAATCGTGTGAGCAGTTGTGCTCATGATCGATAAGTGTATTGGTGCTCATCACAAGCAAAATCGTTTATGGAGTTAGAAACAATAGTTACCCCGCGAGTGCGTGGTATCTGTGGTTAAGATATGGCAACCGTTAACTTATACACTGCAGCTTGTTGAACCCCCGTCTGCGATCCAGTAGTCGTCCTCATCATGACCTCTTTCTACTTCATTTGCGTGAGTACGTTACATGGCTAGCTCTCAGCGAAGTGATTGCTCTGGTTTTCAGCTGTACTGGGTGATAAGTATGGCTTTCTTTTGTGTAACATTCTAGTATAACTGCTGTCTTTATTAGTCTCTCTTGATTATCCAGACCCCCCCTTTGCTTCTGATTCCTGACTATTTTGTGACATCGCGCCCCCTGTTTCGAAGAGTCTTAGCTTGCTAACGTTACTCTGTTGTACTCTGTTGTACATACTATTTGATGAGTTCAACCTGCAGCTTAACTATCTGCGCATTTCTCAGGTTCATATTCCTACCTGTCTATATCGACGATGAAACATTTAGAGGAGGTGAATTACGAATAACGCCTGTTAGGCACTCCGCTTACGCACACCTTACTTCCGAATATGTCGACAACCGAATAAAAGTGTATGTGATTATGTGCCACGTTGTCAAAGAAAGTATTCCTCGTTATTCATGCACTATTGCTTTTAAGCCTATAGTAATAATCTATTTTTCCGTGTTTGCAGTAGTTACGGGCAGCGGAAAGCACATATTTTCTCCATGTGGCAAGTCCGTGATAACCGCATCAGTTCATGGTAATCGTACACATCCACTTTATCCTTCGTAGTACACGAGTGCATCTACATATTCTGGGAAGAAAATTCATTCTATTCACATCGCTTGAGTTGTTGGAACTTTTTGCATCTGTCTCAGATGGGAGAAATTTCATCCTTTCGAACACCCCCGCTGAAGTTAGAACGAAAAAAAAACACTTTGCGTCACCTTAAGACATTAACTAACCAGTGTTTGACTGGTGCTGAAGCTAACAACGGAGGCGCGTGGTACGAAATTCAGTCACTTAGATAAGGCGCGCTTCATTTGTGGTGTACTGTCGTCTCTACCGACAGCACTTGGTCGAATCCACCTAAGCTGGTTAACGGTTGCATCCCGTGCCTTTCGTGCGCGACCACGCTACGACTTAAAGTCCATGAACAAGATGCATAGGATGTACCAAAACAGCCTTCGTATGCTTTGGGCGCTCAGGCGTAGCTTCAGCACTTGGTCCGAAGAGATTGTCACTCGCCTTTTCTTCTCAATAATACGACCAGTGCTAGAGTATGTATCTCCCACGTATTGTCCTATCACTTTGGGCGAGGTAGAAAAGCTTGAGAGAGTGCAGCATGTAGCCACCAGGCTGATTCCCAACTTATGAGGTGTACCGTACGAAGACCGGTGTAAGAAACTAGGGCTGTACACCCTAGCTTATCGTCGAATGAGGGTAGACCTCATCATGACTCACCGGATATTACATCTAGGTGATTACCCTATGTTGAGACCACTGCTTCATCTGCGCACACCAAGCAGCACACGAAGACATCGGTATAAGCTTGTCGCGGATCGCTCACCAACTCCGTTTCGAACCCAGAGTGGTGAATGTACGGAACGACCTGTCGCAGCACGTAGTAGATGCAAAGTCAGTGCCGGAATTTAAGAAGTTCCTTCACAAACACTTTGCGGACGCAAAATATATTGAGCGAAACACAATGTATTTGTCCATAAGTGAGGATTGATGCAGCTACACAGAGCAAGCTCTACTCACTGCTTCTAACCAGTAATCAGTAAGAAAAATAGGGTTCTGATGCAAGTTTGCCGAGTGCACCTACCTTAAAGATTATCTGACCCAGCTAAAACGACGATTGATAATATTGCATGTTGCTGGAGCAATGGACCGCTAGTTTGTAGTCAATAAAAAAGCAAATACTTGACAAATCCCAAAGTGTTGTTAGGGCGAAAATTCCAAAGTGAAAACGCATCGTCAATAAAATAGGACCCTCGTTGATCTTGTTGTCTGAAAAGGTGTGAACGCGGGTGCCAAATTTTCCTTTAAATTCATAACCGAACATTTCTACCCACTACAAGTTGCTCTGTCAAAAACGCTCTCAGTTTCCTCCACGCATTTTGAATTTGGTCTTATCACAATTCTGTTCTACCGTATTTCTTGACCCTACGAAAATCATTGGTATGGTGGGCAACTGTTTACTCAAGTAATAAGCGTACATAATCTCCACGGCACTGTTTGTTTGCAAAGATTAATTTCATGCACCTCCTCATTCAGAATGGTTGTGTAACATGTTGAAAATGCACTAAGCCTAGTGAATAAACTCTATTTTGCCTCGATTTGATTTTCACCTTGGGCACTTGTTAGGCATTTGGCGTCTTACCCACAGTGAATCCCTTGTTCCACTGCCCACTGCAGAAATTGCTTTTTAACAGCGAGATGATCACACCTATCTAAAAGCACGGTCTGGGCTGTGAGAATTAAGGCTGGTTGGCAGGATAAACTGTACTGAAGCAACTGTGGTTCTACATAAGTCACTATACCGCAAATTAGACACGTAAGACGTACGAATAGGTGAATGGACTCATAATTCGGTACAGAAGTAGTTCCACGTGCTCAGGTAGAACAGTCTGAACTCCTTCAAGTAAGTAATATGTGGTGCGGTAAAACTGTGTCCGGATGTCTGTGATATGCACATCGTTGTCAACTATTAAACAACTGTTATACCACAAAGATGTAAAATGGGCAGCTCGGCGGTTCAAGCATATTCTAATCGTGGTCAATAGTGGCAAGCTGTCCAACCATTGTGGTTACAAATGCGAAAAAATGCACTACTTTACACCTATAACAGCTTAAATGAATCCGCATTTCACAGTGTCAATCATATCAGCGAGTTTGGAATCCACTGAATCTATGCTCGGTCATAAGTGGGAATCGGAAAGTGTTCACTTTGTGAATTAATCGGAATGACGGAATTCCCCCCCCATATTCATATACCTCGTCCTAGCTCGAAAATATACAATTCCCTTGAAGGAAAACTTGACTTCGGGTAATGTATATGCCATTCTTGCCTTCGAACTTGGATATGCGAAAAACTGAATTCAACGGAACGACTGGAACTATAAACTTGTATTCACTAAAACTATTGGTTTATTCTTGAATTATTGGTATGTACAAACATATGTTTTGGCCCACTCTTACCTGTGCTGTACTTTTTGCCTTCAAACTCGAAAACCATAGGGCATTTTCATGCAACGAAGATTCTAGGATCTTCGTGTGCGCTCGATTAATGAATTGTTTCTCTGGTAGACTTCGGTGGGCAGTTCTATTCCAAGTTAAACTGCTCACCAGTTCATCCTCGCGTTGTCTTAAATGAAAAAAGTAGAGATGCGATTGTACACTTCCAACGACTGGGTTCCAAGATTCCACAGGGCGCACTGCATCATTACAGCTGTCGTTTAGGTTGATGAAACTACCATTCTGTTTTTTGCTGTTTCGTGATTCAAGTTTGGGTAGTCCCGAGATTCGTGGTAGTAGTTGCGTCCATAACATTATTTTGCGGTTGGATGCTCCGCTTACAACGCGCATGTGGTCGTTTGGACTTGCGAATGTATCCCAGACAGGTCTGGTTTTCTCACGCGGCAAACCTGAAATGTGAAGCGGTCTTAAATTGTGAGGCGCTAATTTCAGCAGTTCCTAAAACGGCCAAAAACGAGGATTACACATTTTCCTGGGTAAATTTGGTCACATCAACGGCGTTCACAAGTGCCATCTTACCATCTGGCACCGCTGCTAACGAATGCGTGTCCGTCAGCTGGTTGCCTGTCCTCTTGCAACTGATCAGTCGTATAGGTATGCTTTAGCGCGAACCCGGGTTTGCACCAGAGGCCGTTTGTAATATGTCAAGAATTAACAAATGTCCACTTTCACCACATTTTGCACTGATGTGTGTAAAGACTCAAACGGTATCTAACACATCCCATTTTGACTTCTTACTGCAACTAGGATACCTGACGCTGCTAAAAGTTTCTCAACTACCAGCTTGTTATGTTAATGCGTTGTTTTCATTATCCTGCGGCCCATTTCAGTCTTCAAAAGGTTAAAAGTCATATTTACTTCGCCTTGATCTTCCGCCGATCGCCTACCATGTGGTCGCACTGTCTTGACACTCCTCTGCTTTCGGGATTACAACTCATGATTCTCAATGCACATTACCGTGCTTACACTTATCCTACTCGGATTTCCCAGCCCTATCCGGTGGGGCTACCACTGCTGGATTGTCTAGCACACAACATCGTTGTATCCGTTAGTGCAATTTCAGCGGGATTTTCACAGGAATGCAGGCGCGCATCAACCTTTTTTCAAGTGAATACCATTCGTTTTATCTATATTCGACAGAGGGCTCTTAGTGCTATCCAGCGATTCTTTTAACAAAAGAACCCGACTCTTTGCTAGTTGCAGCTCGTTTAGCGGCCATCATCCTAACACCACGCCAAAGTAGCGTGAACGCTGATTAAAGCAAATTTCCAACAAGACGAAACCCCGCCTGATCGATAGCCACACCATAAAGGTCGCGCGCTGAGCTCCGTTGGTTATGTTCTCAACTGTGCTCTCACTCGTAGGACCTTATCCACCGATATCGTGTGCCTGTCCCAATACGTTCGGTGCGTTGCTCGCTGTAAACTGAAAGACGGTCGCAATTTTTCCATCTGGTTGACGCCTCGGCATAGTTCGCATCACAATCACAAGAAAAATGATGACTACATGATACACGCAGCCGCAGAAAAAATTTCGTTGAGATGTGAAAACGCGAAAATTAAAAGCTATAAACGTGTCCGTAAAAAGAGGCTTGAGATACACGACTCGCAATGGGGTTTAGAGTAACACAACTGTGAGTATTCCTGCCTGGAATTTAGGAAGGTTGTGACACCGGTCATGGTTTCTTCTAAGCTATTGCTATCATTTGATGGTCAGGAGCAATATCACCAGTTTAAATACGGCATGGTATCTTCAGGGCGTTTATATATATATATATATATATATATATATATATATTGCAAAAGTCTGCTAACAGACATAATGCCATCAGAAACCATGGGATTCAAACGAAGGTACAGAAACAGTAAAATAAAACACATCACAACAATGTCCATGGTTTCCTCAGAGGGCGAGATACTACCCGGTTGCCCAAGCCGAAGTAGGGTGTTGACTTAGGGGACACCACCCCGAGCCTTTGGCTGAATAGCCTGCTCGCAAGGCAGCGGAGCGAATTCAGGGAATCGCGCCCATTGGGAGCCGGTGACTGATTGCTCAGTTCATACGCCTTTCGTTTGTTCCTTTGTCAAACAGGGGCCCAATGCTCCCCAGAAGTACAGCATAAGTTTGCTGGAATACACTGCTTCGCCAGGATGAAACAAGGGGCAGTGGCTTTATTTGGTGGCGAGTCACATCCGCCACGTCGCAGTGTTGTTAAACGGACATATGTGGCTTTTTATAGGGAGAACGCTTGCGAGGCGAAAATCCACCACATCCTGGAACACTGCTGCTGAACCATTTGCTGGAGCGGGATAATCCCGAACCACCCAGCTGGCATCATGAGGAGGGTTGTTCGGGCAAGGCTGAATAGTGCTAGTATAGAGCATTGATTACATGCACCAAAAAGGCGTTACGGAGGAAGCAACCGAGGCGCCGATTGCCCAATACGGACCCAACGTGTGGCAGCTCAGCCGTCACTTTCCCACATGGATTGAACGTATATGTAGCCAAGTGAGTGAACCGATATTACACGGTTGGTGACCTGATTTTGTCACCATAGAGATGGTTTCCACCTAGAGCTTTTATACCGTTCACGGTACGTGTTCCATTTGGCTTCATATCGGTCGATGTGTATTAGCTTATAACTTGAGCAAATGTGAGGTGCAAATCGCTCACGGTGTGTGCACTCATGGGTTTGAGTTCCCTTGTGGACTCAGCGGCATGTTGTCGCACGACCTTTGAATGTATACTTCTTTGTCGTGCGTTTTATAAGCTCCACCTGTGATACTATTTTATCGAGGCATACTCATAGTGCATTCTACATTTACACTTGAATTCTAACTTCCGGCCAGTGTTTCGCCGAGTATCAAGCGCCAAAATTGGCGCACACTCCAATCATCGGACACATCGTTTGGCTCTCACTCGATAGATCATTCAACAGCTCTCGAACGATTGTCACGAATTTAAATCCAACATTGCTTGGAGCAGCTATAGTTCTCAAGGCAAATTCACCCGGCGCGATCCATAGGCTTAACCACGAAAATTCTCAATCACACCCTCGTGTAATCTGCCCCACGTTCACGCTGACACATTCGACTGGCACGTCAGAGAGGACAGTCTGCGAGCACACAACTGCAACGTGAACACTGTGACCTTGCCGACAACGTCAGTAACAGAACAACTTTTTACCATAGAGGTGAGTCATTCAAATGGTTCGTAACATTTCCTCACCAAGCGCGATGCCCAGTGTGCCACAGTCTAAAGACCTATGTGGATCATGTTCCAAACTTGTTAAGGGGGCATTCTGTGCCGTAACTGTTGCAAGTTTTCCATGCGAGATGCCTCCGAGTTAAACCTAGTCAGGCCAAGTTATTAAACAAACCAGATTCTCTATGGTTCTGCGTGGAATGCACATCTATCCCACTGATAAAAAGCGTGCTCCTATTATCTCAGAAGTACGACCAGCTACTAGCCAAGTTTGAGGAAATGGTGACCACAAAATCACTACGGTTGGGGTAAGCATAGCGGACTGTGCAACCCAATCCTCCCCGTAAGTGCTGCTCCTATCCCGAGAAGAACGGCTAGTAACACCGTAAGCAACACGACACCAAGAGCCCAGAACATCAACTGCTGTTCCAATACCACACGTGGCTCACATTTGACTAATGCGGTTCCCAGTTCGATCGGAGTAACTACACGTAAGGCTACTTCCAATCTCCCGACGGAGTGCGTAGAAAAGAGCAAGCCGGTACTAGCGAAAGTTGGGTTACGGTTGCTTCCAAGAAGAGCCGTCATTTAAAATTAACATCACCCCCAACTGGATCGGAAACTGAGGAGCGTAGCGGAGTTTTCTAGTGCAAGCACCACCGGTTTCCTGCGGTACATCTCCGAGTATTTCAATCACTAACCATGACATGTCGAAAGGTGTAAAGAAACAACTACCTGTACCGAGCGTACTGTGCTCCAATATCCCAGAATCAAAGTCGACATCAATGAGAGGCAGGCAGTTGGATGACCCCAACCAGTGGGACATTATTAGTAACCTAATCGGAGTTGTACTGAAACCTGTACATGTAGCGCATATTGCGCGGCACCCCAAGTCTAAGCAGTACGTAGTGCTGAACTCCATCATTGCAGTATCATCAGTCCTACTATCGCAGGTAGACTCAGAAATGAGGGGGGAGGGAGGAGGGGGAAGGGGAGGACGTGGGGGGGAAGGGGGAGGAGGATCCGGCGGGGATAGGGAGGGGGGAGGGGGGGGGGGCGGGAGGGGGGGGAGGGGGGGAGGGAGAGAAGGGGAAGAAGGGGGGGGGGGGTGGGGGGAAGAGGAGGGCAACGGGGGGGGGTGGGGGAGGGAGGCGAGGGGGGAGGAGGGGGGAGGGAGGAGGGAGGGGGGGGGGGGGGGGGAGGGCGGGGAGACGCGGGCGGTGTGGTGGGGAGGGGTGATCGAGGAGGGGGGGGGGAAGTGGGGCAGGAGGAGCGGAGGGGAGAGGGGAGGGGGAGGGGGGGGGAGGGGGAGGGGGGGGGGGGGGGGGGGGGGGGGAAGGGGGGGGGGGGGGGGGGGGGGGGGGGGGGGGGGGGGAGGGGGGGGGGGGGGGGGGGGGGGGGGGGGGGGGGGGGGGGGGGGGGGGGGGGGGGAGGGGGGGGGGGGGGGAGGGGGGGGGGGGGGAGGGGGGGGGGGGGGGGGGGGGGGGGGAGGGGGGGGGGGGGGGGGGGAAGGGGGGGGGGGGGGGGGGGGAGGGGGGGGGGGGGGGGGGGGGGGGGGGGGGGGGGAGGGGGGGGGGAGGGGGAGGGGGGGGGGGGGGGGGGGGGGGGGAGGGGGGGGGGGAGGGGGGGGGGGGGGGGGGGAGGGGGGAGGGAGGGGGGGGGGGGGGAGGGGGGGGGGGGGGGAGGGGGGGGGGGGAGGGGGGGGCGGAGGGGGGGGAGGAGGGAGGGGGACTCAGAATGAACACTG